TTTCTAATTAAAAAATTACTTTAATTTTTCTCCAAGGTAAAGATCCTTGCAAAAATTCTACCAGCATATAAAACAGAGACCACAAGTCATCTTGTCGACCCATTTCCTTGAATACACATTTGTACATTACTTTCATTTACGTGTTAAAATTCAGCTTTCTTAAAGAAAAGATAGATATGAAAACAAAGTATATTAATAATATTATCACAATAAAATTATCACTTATCAGTACAAAACTGCACAAATTACTACAAATTTTGTGATTAATATTATGCAGTTTCTTAATTAACTGAATTTTTCAATTAATATTTTGTTAATATTCAAAAAAATAAATCACAATGATTACAAATTTTTTTCATTACTATGAAGCGTACTTTATTTTTGTGCGCGGAAAGAGCAGCATAGCGGACGGTACCGCGAAAACCAGCAGCGCTGCGCGGGTGGCGAATTTCACCCCTTCCATTAAGATATTGCCGCGCAAGGCCAAAATCTAACATGTAAACTGTTTTAGATGTGGAAACTGTTCGACCCATAGCAAAATTTGACTGAAAATTCCATCCATCTTGTAAGGTTAATCAAAAACTTTCAAATATTAATAACTTCATAATTTGCAATTAATGTTTTATTAAAATAAACTGCAACAAGAAATAATGACAATTATGAAAATATTACTACGAACACTTTTTCTTTGATAAAATTTTTTATTAATTTAAAAGTTATGCGTTAGAAGTAAATTAAAATTGAAACGAATTAAATTTTGCAATAAAAAATTTTTGCCGCAGTAACTGAATTTTAACTCACGTAATTAAGTATTCAAATAACTAACAGGCTTGATATCACGATGCAAAAATCCAATTGAATGTATTTCTTGGATGGCATTCAGAATCTGAAGTCCAATACGAACTGCTGTTGACAACGAGAAAGATTGCTTAGGTGATTCACGTCGTAAATCCGCAAGATTTTTACCTTGCAAGCTCATTACCATATAATTAAATTTTTCGTTCCTACCGCACCCGTAAAATTTGCATGCATGTCGCTTTCCTGCTAACATTTGCATATATTATACAATCAATTATTTAATACACTAAAAAATTTGAATATTGAAAAGAACGATTATATATTTTTTTACGACTTTGCTATATATATTTTTCATTTTTTTGCAATCGTATGAAATTTATTCTACGATAATAATTCATTTAGTACTGTAATTTTTGATTTGGTCTTCAACTTTTGCACGAGATTTTTAATTACTTAATTTATGACATACATATAAAACAATTTTAAATTGTTACACTCGTTAAAATAAAAAAAGTTGGATTAATGGAAGTTATAAAACACCTTGAAGCCTTCTCAAAACCGCAACTTCCATTTTTAGCACTTGTTTGGTAGCTTTGCTTGATTCAACTTTTATAGCAACTTTCTGGTTGTGATTTTGTAAATCGACAGCTTCGTAAATCTCCCCAAATCCACCCCCACCAACTTTTGCTTTCTAGAAGGAAATATCTATTCGTTAGTTTCATGTAAGTAACTTTTACCTCCAATTTATTTCTTCTTAACAATATTAATGTTGTAAAAATGATAATATTATCAATTATTAATTAATTAATTAACTTAACTGATCTTGCTAAGCATATATTGTAAGCATGAATCAAATAATTCAGAAATCAAACAATAAGCAAGCATTACTAACCACTTGCCATCGTTCTCGAATAATTTGTGATTCTTGAAGTATTTCTCCTTCACTAGTGCTTGTCATGACGGCACATTCGGCATCTATTAATTTAATAACTTAAGAAGTTTCATTCAGATGACAATTTTTGAGCTTCGAGTCCGAAACCAGTAGAATCAGAACTGGAATTACCTGAAACACTTGCAAAACTTTTTTGAACTAAAAAATGAAAATTTAACTGAACTGCTTGATATCACAAAATATCACATAAATATAAAAAAGTAATTTGATATTAATAAAAATAAATTATTATCGAATAGAATTGAAAGCATTACCGATGATATATCAGTAGTTTTCATAGAAACGATTCATATATATCAAATCGTTTCGATTAACCTGCAGATAAAAACAGGTTTAAATGTAATGAATGAGCAGGAAGGAATCTCGTATTGAAATTCGCAAAATTGATTTATAATAATTATTTTGAAAAAATCAAATAAAATGATTTAAATGAATTGTAAATACAAACAGATCAAACTATACCATCTTATAACTAATTTTAAAAAAATTGAAATTATTTCAAATTTAAGAGAAAAAATTTTTATTTGTAATTCTAACTTCGAATTACTGAGTTATGCATAAATAAATAACCGCGAAATTAAACAAAATTAAATATACAATATTTAAAGTGAAATAAATTATTAAACCTAAGAATACTTAATCAACAATCATTTAGAATTATTTAATTTTTTATTGGTGCAATTTTTTTTGTTGATCTTTTTGTAAAACGATCTAAATCATTCGTTAGAATATTAGTCACAAGAAAAAAACCTGTTTCAACTATTTTATTTTATTGTATTTTATTTTTAAGCACAAATAATTGTGAAACTAAAAGATGGTTAATAAAAATATAAAATAAATTAAATTAAATTAAACAATAAAATTTGAATTTTTGTACTAATAATGATTAATTGCTGAATTAAGCCTAAATTAATTTTAATAATTTTCA